CTTCCTCTTCTTTCCTTCTTCCTTCTTCCTTCTTCCTTCTTCCTTCTTCCTTCTTCTTCTTTCTTCTTTCTTCTTCTTCTTCTTCTTCTTCTTCCTTCTTCCTTCTTTCTTCCTTTCCTTCTTTCTTCTTTTTCTTCCTTCTTCTTTCTTCTTCTTTCTTCTTTCTTTCTTCTTTCTTCTTTCTTTTCTTCTTTCTTCTTTTCTTCTTCTTTCCTTCTTCTTCTTCTTCTTTCTTCTTCTTTCTTCTTCTTTCTTCCTTTCTTCTTCTTTCTTCTTTCTTCTTTCTTCTTTCTTCTTTCTTCTTTCTTTTCTTCTTTCTTCTTTCTTCTTCTCTTCTTTCTTCTTTCTTCTTTTTCTTCTTTCTTCTTTTCTTTCTTTCTTCTTTCTTCTTTCTTCTTTCTTTTTCTTTCTTTCTTTCTTTCTTCTTTCTTCTTCTTTCTTCTTTCTTCTTTCTTCTTTCTTCTTTCTTCTTTCTTCTTTCTTCTTTCTTCTTTCTTCTTTCCTTCTTTCTTCTTTCTTCTTTCTTCTTTCTTCTTCTTTCTTCTTCTTCTTCTTTCTTCTTTCTTCTTTCTTTCTTCTTTCTTCTTCTTCCTTCTTCTTTCTTCTTTCTTCTTTCTTCTTCCTTCTTTTCTTCTTCTTCTTTCCTTCTTTTTCTTCTTTCTTCTTTCTTCTTTTTCTTTCTTCTTTCTTTCTTTCTTCTTTCTTCTTTTTCTTTCTTCTTTCTTCTTCTTTCTTCTCCTATAGTTTGTACATTAGTTACAATACAACTTCTTACAAGAGGAAACCGAGGGCCCTGCTCGTTAGCGCTTACAATCTAGGACAGGGGTCTCCAAACTATGGCCCTCCAGGTATTGAACTGCAAGTCCCACGAGGCCTTGCAAGACTCTGACAGCAACAGGCAAGACTCGCAGAGGCATGATGGGACTTGTAGTACTTCAACAGCTGGAGGGCCATAGTTTGGAGACCTGTGATCTAGGAAATGCTTTCACATTTCTGCAACATTGTAACTTTGTACGTCAACTGAAACTCAAAATCTGGCTTGACACAAGGGTGCCTGATCTATAATCTGTGTGTATGTGGGGAAAGGGGGGGTTCCAAGTTGGTGAATATCACCTAGAATGCTCATTGAGAGTCTGCAGAGCAAACCGTTGGTTGGCAGTGGCCCAGGGTCTTCTGAACTACAGGATCGTTCTACAGTAAAGCAGGCATGGGTAAGGGGGAGAAGTTTACTGTTCAGCAGGTAATGAGGGTCTCCATTCTATAACTCACTAGCAGGTTTTTGCGCACTTTGGAACCTCTCCACATGACCTCTAATTCTCTGTGAATTTCTGATGTGGACCCCTAAATGACGCACTCTTTTCCATTGTTGGGCAGCGTTAGTACGGAGATAGACCAGGGCAAAAGGTTAAGCCATGCATACAGATTAGATGGCGGTCGGAAGTTTCGACTGGCGAACAATCGTTTATGCAAACAATCATTGCATGCTTGGATTGCTCAAGTGTACATGTTAAGGCCAGTGGAGAAGGGAAGAATATCCAGACAACCCCAGTGCTGGCCTAATCCCAGGGCATCAATACCAACTGGGTTAGCAAATTCAAACCAGACAAAGAAGTTCCCCCGAGAACTTTCAGCCACGGGGGATATCATCACCATAATACTTTCCTATGCTGGCTGAGAAAATGTTGTGCTTGTAGTTATCTAGTGAATATTCGGCCGTTTATACACATGCAGATCACTTAGATGAACCCAACACACTGGGTCATGGCCTTATGGAATCCTGGCAATTGGAATAATATGGCAATTATTTTACCTTTTCTAACTCAATTCCAGTCTTGTGATGTCGTTACCTCTACCATACAGCATGGCCAGGTTGGTTTTCTCTTCTGTAGTACACATGTCAAAAGAGGAGCGTGGAGGGGTGGGCTGCCATACTACCATTTTGGCAATGTCTGACTTGTGCAGAAGCTTCCTGTAATAAAGACCGGTCACTGCTGCTCTCTCTTCTTGTGCCGGGTGACTGGTCTTGTCTCCGCCCCTCTTGTGTTCTGCAGGTAGCCTGTAGTGGGTGGAGCCTGCTTGGTCCCTCCCAAAATTCTGCTCTCTGCACAGGCTATGAACAACACTAATTACTGTACGTCATAGGCCCTAAAGAAGAAAAAAAAATTCACATTAACATATAATATATATCCCCTATGACAGGGCTTGAAAAAGCCGCTCGCCAAATTAGAGGGGAAATCCTTGTGTGGCAAGCAAAGATGGAGCGGCTCCACCTGTGCGCTCCAAGCCTCATTGTGAAGCCGAGTTCCTGTTTCCAGCTTCTTCCTTCGGCACTGCCATTACACTGGCAGCGCCGCTGAGGGGACGGGTGCAGGAGAGGTCTGCTCTCCTCCGCTGAGAGGCGAGGCCCGCTCTCCCCTGCCTTGGGGGGACACGAGGCGAGGCCCGCTCTATGATGTAGGCAAAAATTTAAAGAAAAAATTTCACATTTAAAATATAATCTATATATCCCCCATCTCATAGGGGATATATACAGTGGGGATCAAAAGTTTGGGCACCCCAGCTAAAAATTTGTATTAATGTGCATAAAGAAGCCAAGGAAAGATGGAAAAATCTCCAAAATGCATCAAATTACAGATTAGACATTCTTATAATATGTCAACAAAAGTTAGATTTTATTTCCATCATTTACACTTTCAAAATAACCGAAAACAAAAAAATGGCGTCTGCAAAAGTTTGGGCACCCTGCAGAGTTAATATCTTGTACTGCCCCCTTTGGCAAGTATCACAGCTTGTAAACGCTTTTTGTAGCCAGCCAAGAGTCTTTCAATTCTTGTTTGAGGTATCTTTGCCCATTCTTCCTTACAAAAGTCTTCCAGTTCTTTGAGATTTCTGGGCTGTCTGTCACGCACGGCTCTTTTAAGGTCTATCCATAGATTTTCAATTATGTTGAGGTCAGGAGATTGTGAAGGCCATGGCAAAACCTTCAGTTTACGCCTCTTGATGTAATCCCCCATGGATTTTGAGGTGTGTTTAGGATCATTATCCATTTGTAGAAGCCATCCTCTCTTTAACTTCAGCTTTTTTCACAGATGGCATCAAGTTACCATCCAAAATTTGCTGAAATTTTATTGAATCCATTTTTCCTTCTACTCGTGAGATGTTCCCTGTGCCACTGGCTGCAACACAACCCCAAAGCATGATTGATCCAACCCCATGCTTAACAGTTGGACAGAGGTTCTTTTCATTAAATTCTGTGCCCCTTCTCCAAACGTACCTTTGCTCATTCCGGCCAAAAAGTTCAATTTTAACCTCATCGGTCCACAGAACGTGTTTCCAAAATGCATCAGGCTTGTCTATATGTTCATTTGCAAAGTTCAAATGATGATTTTTGTGGTGAGGACGTAGAAGAGGTTTTCTTCTGATGACTCTTCCATGAAGACCATATTTGTACAAGTATCTCTTTATAGTGGAATAGTGTACCACAACTCCAGTGTCTGACTGCACGATCCCTCCAGAAAGATCTGGCAAACGTGGGTTTTGAATTGTTTTTCTCACAATCCTGCGAGCTGTTCTGTCTGATATTTTTCTTGGTCTTCCAGATCTTGCTTTAACTTCCACTGTTCCTGATGACTGCCATTTCCTAATTACATTCCGAACAGAGGATATTGACATCTGAAAACGCTTTGCTATCGTCTTATAGCCTTCTCCAGCTTTGTGAGCGTCAACTATTTTCAGTTTCAGTTTTCTAGACAACTGCTTAGAAGAACCCATGGTGCTGATTGTTGGTGCAAGGTCAGATGAGTCTGGGCATTTAAAACCTTTAAGATTGACATCACCTGGTCTTCCCAGACGATGATTGAGAACAATCCATGACACTGGCAGGTCTCAGCTTTGCAAAGGGGGCAGTGCATGCTATAAATTCTGCAGGGTGCCCAAACTTTTGCAGACGCCATTTTTTTGTTTTCTGTTATTTCTGAAAGTGTAAATGATGGAAATAAAATCTAACTTTTGTTGACATATTATAAGAATGTCTAATCTGTAATTTGATGCCTTTTGGAGATTTTTCCATCTATCCTTGGCTTCTTTATGCACATTAATACAAATTTTTAGCTGGGGTGCCCAAACTTTTCGATCCCCACTGTATATAAAATTTTAATGTGAATTTTTTTTTTTTTTTTTTTTCTTAAATATTGTTTTGTGCCTAGAGTTCAGCTTAAAGTTTTCAGATCCCAGGGACTATAACACTTGCCTTTCCTTGTCCTTTTTTTTTTTTTTTTTTTTTTTTTTTTTTGGGGGGGGGGGGGGGGGGGCAAGGGCTGGGGAGGATACATACAGCTTCAAAGAAACCTATATACTCTACGGTTACAGCCTACTGCAACCAAGCCACCTGCAGGATTAAAAGGACACCTGTTCCCCACCCCCCAGAAGTATACTGTCATTATTCAAAGTGCAAAAGCTTTAAATTAAAAAAATTTAAAAAAATTGGGTAAAAAAACTTAGCTTTATTTTTATTTTTTCTGGCCAGCAAAATACAAAATAAAAATGAGAATTTTGGAATTTGTACCACAACAGAGAGGCATAAAAAAGATCTTGTGACCCGCACTGCAGCTTTCAGTGCTGTGTATTTTGTGCTTTTGTGTGTGAGGCCACTCAGTATATGCACACAGGTGTCTGCTTAAAAAAAAAAAAAAAAAAAAAAAAGGCACCAGCAAATAAAATACCCGCCATGGGGGCCCTTTTTGCTATTCTTGAGTTTCATGCCATGAATGCTTTGTTTGTTTTTTGTTTTTTGCGAATTCTGTGTACAGCTTGGTTTGACCAGGCTCCACATTTCCAGAAAATTTTAGTAAAATTTTGTATTTATTATTTTTATTTATTTTTATTTTTTATTTAAATATATATATATTATATTTTTATTTTGTCTTTTGAGTTTCCAGAAATGTATGTTTTATTGCATGTCTACGTAGTCTAAACTTGAAATCTTTGCTGCATTGTTACAGGTTTCTTTCCAGTGAAGAAGAAGTCAAAAGTTGTGCCGGCACTTTGTGACAAGTTACATTCGAGGTCTCCCATCCTGACAGAGCACACGCCGCGCAAGATGCTCCGATGACTGAGGTACGGAGATATCCCACCAATCTCATTATTTGTAGAGACGGTTTACATTCTATAAGTGTTTTCTCACTAGGCTTTCATCTGAAACTTCCAAGGCTAGAGCTTCAAAGGAGGCCTTTCCCCCCCCCCTTTGTAGCTTACATATGTTGGTTAGTCAGTTAGAGATTGACCAATACAAGGTCACCCAGTGCCCAGGGTGAGGATACGAAAACTGCACCATTGCCCTCCCCCCCCGGTCAAGATGGGGAAAAAAAAATTGAAAACCTCTTCAAATTAAATTTTTATTCAAGTCAAAACAGAGTTCAACCACAGCTGCCCCTTGGGAGGGGGGGGGGGGGGGGGACCCTAGCCCGCCAGCCGTGACGGCTATTGAGGTACGTCGCTTGAAGTTGGGTTCTACCGCACCATACCAATTTACTCAGAATTTTGGTCCTGTTGCAGCAGGAAGAGAAGAGTAAAAAGCCTCATCCTTGGTAGAGGTGGCGGTAATAATAATACCCCTAACAGAGGTTTCAGTGGCCACAAAAATAACCCCAGCGTTGGATGCAGCAATAACCCCCGGCAGTGGTGTCTGTGTGGATGCAGCAATAACCCCCAGCAGTGGTGTCTGTGTGGACGCAGGGATAACCCCCCAGCAGTGGTGTCTGTGTGGACGCAGGGGTAACCCCCCAGCAGTGGTGTCTGTGTGGAACCGCAGGGTGGATAACCCCCCCCCCCCCCCCCCAGTGGTGTCTGTGGACTCAATTGCAGAGTATCCAGTACATTGATATGTCAATCGTGTGGCTTTTGTGTATTTTAAGGTTTTATGCACATTTGCAAGCGCCGGGCATACAAACATACAGCCGTTCATTACTATGGGGTGACTGTGTCTCCTGGGTCCGGAATTATGCCTCCATTTTATATTGTGTCCACATGCATGCGGTTTTATTGGACAAAGTTGCAGTCGTTTCATGAGTCTTGTCCTCATTTTTCAAGTTGCAATGACACTTGAGGCATGCTAAAGTGACCTCGGAGTCCATATTGGCTCATATATCACTTTAGCATGCCCAAAGTGATATTGCAGGTTGATTTCAACCACCACCTTGTGTGTTTTTTAATTGTTTATTTGGGGTTTTGTTTTGTTTTTTTAATTTTGTTTGCATTTGTGTTTTTTTTTTTTTTTTTTTTTTTTTTTTTTTTATTTTGTTTATTTTATTTTTTTTTTTTTTTTTTTTTTTTTTTTCCCTCCTGTTAAGGTCTGCTATAATTTACAAGTCGTCCTGATAATTTTTAGCTTGGCTGGAGCGATCTGCCCTACCAGCACCAAGGGTGTGACTGGCTCCTAGCGACTGTGTCTTGGTCACTTCCATGTGGCTGAGGATCTCCTAGAAGGTCACATTTTCCACTGAGCTCGGTGTCCTATGATCTCAGTTTTCCAGCCCTGACCGATAATTTCCTTCTCTTCTCATCCCCGCAGATTTGCACTTACAGAGCTGCCCAAACCTCAGCACAATGGAGGAGACTGGGACAAGCCGGAGAGTCTCCCTGAGCCGTCAACCTACAAGGACACCTCTGTCTGTGAAATGAAAAAAGACGGGCAAAAACAGAACGAAAAAAGAAAAAATCAGCAGCCAATGAGCACGAACTGTGATTTTACAAAAGATGTGTAGAACTGCTGTGGCTGGCATTCCCTTCTGAAAATGCGAGTTGCCTGGCCGCCATGCTCATCCGTTAATCTCATTCCTTTCTGAGCCACTGACCTGGGACAAGTATGCGGCTCAGGAGTTCCTACTATATTTGCTCCAGGTCAGCGACTCCCAAGAACTCGAGCCACAGACAGACCGGGATATGGCATTTTTAGAAGAAAATTTGGAATGGCAGCCCCTTTTTTTTTTTTTTTTTTTTTTTTTTTTTTTTTTTTTTTAAAACACAAGCTTTCTTTTTAAAAGGGCACGTCCACCCAAAACTGATATTTCACTTGGAGAGTTGAATCACTTTTTAGGTTCCTTTATTAATCTGCAAATCCTCTAATTTAATGCATACAACTAATAATTGACCAAAAAGTGTAATATATTTCCCCTTTAATTAAATTCAATTTATTTTAAAATAATCTTTGAAAGCCCATACTTCATAAAAAAAAAAAAAAAGAAAAAAAATATTGATATGCAAGGTGACCTGCGGGCTGCATGCTTGCTTGTGATCAGCCTTTGTATAACTGACTACTAAGCCAGGAGGTAGCGTCTCCGTCCGCTAGGAGAGAAGGGGGCGTTTCCCACCTTGCATTTTGTGGAAACTGATCTCTCCAGCTCTCCCCCCCCCCCCCCCCCCCCCCCCCCCCCCCCCGTGTTCTCACTGAGCTGTTCTCTAACGCACCATCAGAGCTACTGCTCTTACCGACAGCAAATGGTAAATGTGACATTTTTATGCTAAAAAATTTGTTTTGTAATTGGGGTGGGGGTAAAACTAATAAATATAATAAAGAAAATATTTTACATTTTTGTTTAATATTTTTTTTTTTTCCTTAATTGCAAACTGAAAAGTTTCAAGTGCTGAAAATTTTTTTTTTTATTAAATAATTATAAATTAAAATAAAAAACAAAACTAATAAAATATATATTTTTCTTATTAGTTTTTTTATTTTAATTCATTTATAATTTAATTTTTTTTTTCTTAATTGCAAAAGGAAAAGTTTCAAGTGCTGAAAAAATTATATTAAAATAATTCTAAATTAAAAAAAAAAAAACTAATTTAAAAAAATAAAAATATATTTTTTTTATTTTAATTTTTATAATTTTAATCTATTTTTCTTAATTGCAAACGGAGAAGTTTCAAGTGCTGAAAAAATATTAAAATAATTATAAATTAAAATAAACTAATTATAAAAAAACTAATTAAAAAAATTTATATATATATATATATATATATATATTATATTTTTTTTTTTTTTTTTTTTTTTTTTTTTTAGCACTTAGAATTTTTTCCCTTTGCAATTAGGGAGAAAATAAAAAAAATATATCAGTGTATTTGACATGTAGAAATTTATCAATCACACCCTCTGTCGAAACAAAATATTTTTTAGTATCTGAAAAACAACCCCGCCCTCAAAAAAAAACAAAAAAAAAAAAAAACCTTCTGTTCCCTTTTTAGTAGGTGAATTGAGCTGAGACTTGAATTGGAGACCTTGCTGCAGGTTATCACAAGAAATCCAAACTTGAATTGACTCTTAAAAAAAAAAAAATAAATAAAATATCAGTTTTGGTTTTGACTTTGCCAGTTGGATGGTGTTTGATTTATTTTTAATGTTTTTTTTTTTTTTATTTTTTTTTAGTTTACTGCAATTTTTAAACAGACAGGTGTTGTTTATTTTATTTTTTCTATGTGCCTCATGCTGAAGCATTGTCATTAGAAAATGAAGTGGCGACATGCTCCATGACATCACATAAGGAGGCAATACAGATTCCTCCCTATGTATGGCCGTCGGGAAGTACCTTTTTTTAATCTGAGCTCCTTCTTTTTTTTTTTTTTCTTTTTTTTTTTTTTTTTTTTTTTTCTTTTCTAAATTTGCCTTGCAGTGCACGTTCTATAGATTTGTGGCTGGTACCAGAATACGGTTAAAATTTTTGCTTTTTGTTTGTTTTTTTTTCTTTCTGTTTTGTTTTGTTGTTTTGTTGTGTTTTTGAGTTTGAAAGAGTTTTTACTACTAACTTATATTCACTATTTATATACGTGTGAATGAGCTTATAATATTCCGTAAGTTAAAAGCACTATATTTGCAAAGCGTGACTTGGGTTTGTTTGTTTTTTTTTGTTTTTGAAACCATGGAACTTTGTATATGTAAGAAAAAAAAAAAAAATTGCTGCACATTTTTGTTTGACCTGTTTTAGCCTTAATGAGCCTTGTTATTACTGTTTAATAAAAAATGTTTATTAAACTTTTACACGTGTCGGACTTTAATTGGTGCTTTGAGGCAGTGCTGCCAGCAGGTGACGCCAGAGCTTTCTCTGCCTTTTTTGAGAGCGTTTCACATCGAAGCCACTACTTTTGGGACCAATCAAGATCGGTGTACATGACGGGTGGGTTGGGGGCTGTACTTTGGTAAGGTGAGAGCAGGTACAGGCTGAAGATGTTACATTGTTGGGGTGGTTAGGGGTTTAAAGGGCTACATTGTATATCTGGGCAAAATGTTAAAAATCAGTATCTCTGTGCAATCTATGCACATTTCCCCATGCTGATCTCTTGACTTCTGCTGAAAATCTTGTGGAATCCCTGTTGATCCTGCCAGAAATGAAGGGGGGGACCCAATTTCTTGTGAGGTCGGCCTCTTCTGCACTGAAATCCAAAACGCTGTTGTCACTCTGTGGGCTGCAGTCACCCCCCCCCCCCCCTGCTGTGGGCTGCAGGCACCATGCTCCTCCCCCTGCCCTATGTTCTCTATGCAATGCAGGCAGATCATGGCTGGTAGGTTGCAGTACATCAGCCCTGATCCAAGCAGCGGGGACTGTGATGGCTGGTAGTTTTTGGCTTTTAGATCGAACCTCTAGCCCTTCCTTCAGTCTTTCACAGTTGTATGAGCTCCTCCCCTGGACTGAAACCACTTACTCTGAACACTGTCAACGTCTAACAATGTGCATTAGAAGCTGCAGCAAGTCGGAGCCCACCTCATTTCCTGGCTGGAGGACATCCAGCATCATCTAGCTCTTTCCTCCCCAGCCTGACTAGTCATCCTTTTTTTTTTTTTCCCTTTTCTCTTTTTTTTTTTTTTTTTTTTTTTTTTCTTTCCCCCCTTTTTTTCTCTTTCTAATTTATTGGATTTCAGCTCTTTTAAATCATGAAGGCTCGGCATCACATGTGGGTGTTACCTAGAGTGGCCTTTATCCTAGGAATACCTGCGCCTCCCAGATTGATATCCACCCATCGAATCAGTTTAATATTTTTCATAGCTCCTTCCAAGAACCACTACTTGCATCGGAGCTGAAGAGTACTGAGGCAGGGTGCTGGGATGCTTTCAGGAAGCTATGT